TCCAATCCTTTATTTTACCCCCACCCCCAAGCACTGTGCCTGCCCAGGTGAACATCAGCTGTGTTCCAGGGGTGTCTGCACGACAGCTTGTGCTCTGCACGTGATCCCCTTCCCCTGAGCTGCTGGGGCTGTGCCCCCCCCGGCAGGACGGGACGGCTCCCGGCACCTCAGCACCATCCCCAGCCACTAGAAAAGTCCTTTATTCTGCCCAGTTGCTGTGGGTGAGAGACTCATCAATCTTGCCTCAACTATCTGAAGAAAAAATACAGTATTTTGATGGAAAAAAATAAATGAATGTTTGCTTTTGTCTCACTTTAGAGAATTTCACTTTAAAGAAGAAGGGAAAATCTCCCTGTGATAATCTTTGGTTCGGTTTGTTACCTCTGCTGCTGCCCATAAAAAAGGAGAACAGTAGGCAAAATTTGCTGCTTGTTTTTAATTAACCTATTTTAATTCATTTCTGCAGAACCCTTGCAGATAAAACAGCTGGGTTGGGTTTTTTCCTTCCTTCCTTTTACATATCTTAATCTTTCACTGAAAATGATCAAAAACCTATGGCAGCAGATGGGGATGGAATACGAAAGTTTTCACAAAGGAGTTCAGATATCAGAAAAGGGGAAAAAATAGATTTCATTTAAAGTTTTGAAAAATATTTCTGGGCTTTAAACTTTATAGGCAGCTCTGCATGATTCAGCTCTTGAAGGAAAATTCCAGCAACCATTTGGCTATAAGTTATTGTGAGTAAATATTTACTATTTAACAGTTATTATCTCCTTTCCATAACTCCTCAGAGATACCCACCAATTTTCAGTGCTTTTAGCTGAACGTATGTTTAAGGTGAGGGAGGTAAGAGCAATAACTGATGCAAAGAACTATAAGCAACTCTCCTGTCTCCAGTTGTAAGAACCTGCCCTTGATTACTATTTCTAAAAACTGCCCCTCTCACAAGCACTCAAAGCAAGGCTTCGTCAGTGAAACCACCCTTCACCTGCCACCAATGGCTCCTGAAATTAATCAATTAAAGTTACACTACAGATGAGCCACTTAGCTCTGTTTGGAATGCAAATTATGAAAGGGTAGTACCTGGACTCCTTTTGAGTGATGGCCAGATAGATTTCCCATGAGCTCTCTTCAGGAATAGCCCCGTGAGGTATCAACAAACTGACTCCTAGAAAAGAGCAGAAGCAGAGCTTACCTTTGGGAAAGGCACTGGATGGAAAGAGCAAAGCACAATTGGCCTCTCATTGACCACATCTAGCAAAGCCACCTGCTAGAGCAGGAGAATGCTCCTCTGACATAGGGGTTCCAACTACAGCATTATCAGATGAATGCAAGATACATTATTAATATCATCCAGATAATTATTAATATTTAACTGTCTTACAGAGGCTGGAATTACGTAGACTCACATTGGATAGTTGACTTCCCATTGGTTTGTGTCTCTAAAGGACCCTGGATTCATAGTCTAGATGTGACTGATGGGCTTTTATCTGATGCAGCAACAGAACAATTTCCTTTGAGTTCCCTATTTAATTATTCTTGGTTTGGGGGTTTGTTTTTTTGTGTTGGGTTAAATTATCTAATTGATGGACTATCATTGTATAAAGTAGCGTAATAGTATGAGGGACTTCTCCATTTATGACTTAACTGACTTAGTGCTTCTGCCTTTAAATATTCATTCCCAAACATAAAAACAATCTGTGAAGAAATGAACACATTCCATGTGTTGTGCATGATTGTACAACAAATACTGTATCCCTGAATTTTATACTGTCATCAATCTTCATTAAATACAGACCACATTTTTTATGGTAACCTTTAAAGTACCCATTTTATGGAAGATGAAGGATAAGGCTCTATGAGATACTAAGAGATAAGCCTGGACACAGTAGTCAAATGAAATCAAAGTTGAATTTAAAGACGACTTTGATTAAAGATCACCAGAGTTCAAAACCATCTCATTTTTGCTTGCAATCGTGGTATCTGGCAATTTCTGCTACATTTGCCATTTTGAAAAAGAAAGTATCCAACATAAGGAATTTTATTCAGCCCAATACAAACATAGTGATGTACAAAGTGCAATGTCCTGCAGGAATAGGATTTTAACATCCTTTATTTGATTTTAATTTGGTGCTCTATGTTTGCAGCTAATTCAGCGAGCAATGAAGTCTAATTTAAGTCTAAAATGTGTCTCACAAAACTGTGTTACAAAGAAGTCACCAAACAAACTGTATTTCTTAAACAAAGCAAATTGAGCATCTCTGCCGTGATGTCTCAGTGTACGGCTCAATCCTGAGATGCCCCTTGACTTTGAAGTGCCCCACTATGGAAATCTGTCGAGCTATTAAGCTAAAATAAAGAGAAAGCCAGGAAGGCAGGAGTAAATGCTAATGAAAGCCGTGCTACAGTTCTCATCGAGAGGGGAAGTTTTCTCCAGAGACGTCTGTTTGCTCTGTGCTGCAGACTTGAACAACATAATGAAGTCTGACAACGTTAACGCAGTCAGATGTCGATGCGGGTACGTTCTGCTTTGAATATCCCCCCATTATGTAAGATGCTGATCCAGTATCGACCTCCTTCTGGGGAGCCCTTCTTTTGGATCAGGATCCAAGTCAGCAACAGCTTTGATTAATAGGACTTTCATGCCGAAGACATCAAGAGAGGCAGTAATTTATAACAGTTCAAATAGGCATAATGCCTTCTTACTACTCATCTCAGGCTTTGTTCTGATCAGTCATCTCCTGTGTGGGCAACATGCTCTACTTCCCAACATTGCATCAAGGGAGCCCCTACTTTTCTTCCCATTGTTTTTTTTTTTTTTAGTCAGAGAACACAACATCAGGCAAAATAAGCTTAAACAAAATTTATTTTATATGCTTTTAATAGAAAGGATTTACCCACCTGTGTTTGGAACAACTAAGCGGCCACCCAGGTGTCCAAAAATGGCAGTTGTCTTCAGCTCACTGCGCGTCGAGATGGAAGAGAGGTTCTGAATGTACGTCGCCTTATTTCTAGCCTGGATTGTACCGAACGCTCTACTATTGCCATGAGGAAAAGTTCCTGAATGGGCCTTGCCGTGATACTCAGCCCTCTCTGTCACCCCGAGGGACACCATGAAGGAGCTCTGGACCTTGACCTTGATGTCTGACAGCGGGTTGAAGAGGGAGGACTCCGTCATCAGCTCCTTGTCCATGGGGTCCTGCAGGCAGATGGGGCCGCTGTAGGTCCTGCTCACGGTCAGGTCGGGCTGCATGGAGGGGTTCAGGAGCAGCGGGTTCCCTGCGGAGTGAAGCACAGCAGGGACTCGGTCACTGCCGTGAGATGCTCAATCAGAAATCTCTTTCTGACCTCTCCAGCAGTTCCTTTCAGACTTGCTCTCCCTCCCTGATCCTCTCAGAGCTCAGAATCACATAAGGCAATGTTAAAAAACAGATGAAATGATGCAATAGATCTAACAGGTACTTCATCACTACGGTTTCTGCACTTCAGGCAACTCCAGAGTCCATGAATCTGAGAAGGAACTTTGGTTTTGTTCTGGAGTCAGATTTGTGTTTATGCCTTTTTTCTTTCTTTTTTTTTTTTTTTTGAATGAAAACCCAGTGGGTGAAGACACATCCTCCTGCAGCCCTCTTCTGTGAGCTTACACAAAACAGTAGCTTCATGCCTGAGGGAAACTGGACTGAAAAGAAAGTGGGACAAGAGTAACACAGGGAAAAATGCCTCAGTTGGTCTTTTAGGAGCATTTTAGCTCAGAAGAGGCTCTGGAAGAAAAGTACTGGATAGATTTAGGGCCTGAATCCTTGAGCTGTTTTGGTCTTTTACTGCTTGTTTTTGTGGTTTGGTTTTTTTGTTTGTTTGTTTGTTTTGTTAAGTAGAATTTCTCCCAAAATAACTAATTTTCTGGAAATTATCTCTACTGCACTCTTGAAAATTTATCACTTCAAGGGACTGCAGGTTGGGTTGTGAACATCATAAATACATTTCTCCAAAGAATAAAATTTGGATCACACTAATCCATTGTCCGTGTGTCAGTATTGACAACTCTTTTCTCAGCAAACTGAATACAGAACAGGCCTTTTTTTTCATCTGAATTGTTTAGTTTACAAATGCTCTTATTTAAAAAACCCAGTCAGAGAACCCAAAGGAACTGAAACTGAACTAATAGCATCTGGCATAAGAGAAACTGGCTGCTCAGATCCTTTCACAGTGTCCAGAACGAATGTTTTTGAAACATCAAGTCAAACAAACAATTCCCCAGACTGAAAACAAGACTTTTAAGGGAAACTGAACAACAAAGGGAGAAATTACTATTTGAGACAGTCATTGGGAATTACAGGACTCCGATTAAAGGCTTGGATTTTTAAATGAATGCGAAAACATCCTTCAAACATCCTTGTCTACCAAGCCCTTTTTCCAATTTCTTGCAATTTATGCTTGCTGAGGAAAAATAAAGTAACTGTAAAAACAACACACAAAATCCCCACCAAATTCTGTGACATAATTCACTTCTCCCGAGAGCCACAGGGACACCATCACACCAACACCCCCACCCGCAGTAAGGCAGGGCTCTATGCTGGAATGTCAGCACAGAATTTAAGAAACATACTATTTTAAGGTAATCACTGTTTTTATCCCCCCCCAGTATTTTGTCCAAAGGAGATACTACTCCAGAAAACATCTGAGTGCTGCTTTCAGTCGAAGTAAGTATTTCTTTCATATTTTATTGTGTTGGTGGCTTTCTGAAGTTTTGTGTTGTTTTGGTTTTTTTTAAATCAGTACAAGTTTACACACATTTCTTTCCCACAGACCTCAGAACGGTGCTGTTTGCCTGCCAACAGCAGCTTATAAAAATACTTAAAATTGGGTTTCTCAAATTAACAGTAAAAAACTAATCACTTCTATTGGAGTAAAGAAACTAGAAGAGTAAATGAATAGGAAGGAACTACAGACATGCTTTCTGGGCTTGTTTTGGTTGGTTTGGGGATTTTCTAAGTCACAAATGCCAGCGTAGAAGCTAGTGACAGTATTTCTGTAACACTTAGAGTATGGTCAAGAAAGATGCTGTGTTTGTCCCAGCTGGGGTGACAAACCATTGCAGAGACAGTACGAGACGGGTCTAACCCTAGGTCCCTGCGCTCGCGCTGGATCGCCCTCCCACAGCCAGGCACTGACTATCAGTATCTGACTTAGCATCTCTGTGCAGTAGGAGCTCTGGAGAGAAGAAAATGAAATCACAACACTAACCTTGTCTGACTGTTTTAAAATTAAATGTCTGGAAGCCTCCTGTCAGTGCAGATGAATCAATCACATCCACGCCGTACTCACTCTGACTCCGTCTGTAGAGGGTAACGCCAACCACCAGCACGGCTACAGCAATGACTGCTGCTCCCAGGCCCGAGTACAGGGCGATGTCGCTGGCGGTCTCGATATCTGACAGGAGAGAGAACAGGTACCAGGTCAGCAACGCTCCCGAGAGCAGGGGGATGCCAGGAGGGCACGGCCAGGGAGGGAGAGCCTGGGACAGACACGTGGAGCCGAGGGGGGCACTGCGAGGAAAGCCCTTGAGAGCAGGAGCACGTTTCCTGCTGCATCACTCCTACAGGTGAGCTGACACTGGGTTGGGGATTGCATCGTGCTCTTCAGAGGGTTTTTTTTAAGACTTCAGACTTTCACAGCAGAGAAGAAGAATTCATTGCTTTGAAAGAACGAATCCAACTGAAACCCGCAATATTATGTAATTGAATTATCCAGTCCTGCTATTCCAGATCTGCTGGGATTTGGGACCACGTACCATGAAATTAAATTACTTTGCAAGTACACTCGGTGGGTCCTTGGTTCCTTAATGCAAACTCCAGTTTAGAGGAAGAGATAATCACATATTCAGCCTATACATCATCCTTTATCCTGCTCTCTGCTGCTTCCACTATCGAGTGACAAGCACTTAGTACAGAAAGTGCATTAATTTCTAACAAATGACAGTGATAAAAAATAATCAGGAAATCCAGACTACTCAATATCAGTAAATAAACTGCAATGTACAGAAATAAATAGGGTAGGACATTAAATTCAGCATTTAATAAATAGCCAATTACTGAAATTACTTGGTAAGTATTTGGGAGGAGCCTTCTGTTGTACATATGTTTTTCTGCAGAAAGTCAGATAACTTTCGTATTTGGGAGGAGCCTTCTGTTGTACATATTTTTTTTTTTCTGCAGAAAGTCAGACAACTTCACTTTAGCTGAATTCTTACAATTAATATGAAACTTCAGACCGTTGAGATGAAAGAAATGAGTACCTGTGGGCAGCACCAGAAAAGCTCACTTTCCTGGCTGCCCAGTTTCTTATCTGAAGGAAATGCCTGACGAGGACCAGTCCCGGCTGCTGAGCTCCCTGGGGAGGTGCCACCACGGAGCTGGGTCCCCTCTGTCCCCAACACGAGTGACAGCGAGGGACTGACCCCAAACTCAGCCTGCAGGGGCTGGAGCTCACGGGAGATGTGCCGTGGGTAAAGGGCAATGGAATTGATTTTTTTATATTGGACAGTTGAATCCAGAGTAAAATAAAGTTTTGGGCCCAAACGTCCTTAATAGAAAACATCCTTTCCATCCATTCTCAAAGCATTCCCAGTGACCCCAATTACAGCATCCAACATCCCAGTCAACCCAAAATAAATGTTCTGGAATCAGTTTTACTGGGACCGCTATTTAGCCCAGAAAATACTTTTACAAAAATTCTGTTAAATTTTCAAATAACCTCATGCTGAAAAATATATCTGTTTTTAACACATTTAGAACTTGCCGAGAAGGAAAAAAATAATAAATCACAAACTTTCCATGCAAATACCAGCTTTCAGAAGAAATCCATCTTCTGTGGCACATCACAACCAAATAAACTTGTAGGTAACTCACATCCAGCTGCTTAGAGCATTACAACTGCTCTACGTTACTTGGGTTTGTGGAAAAGCTCAAAGTTATTCATACACAGAGTTCAGACGAAAAGGAGAATATTTTCAGAATATATTAGATTTTTAAATAGCTTGATCTTAAAAGAGTAAAACAAGTGACATGGTATTCCTTTGAATTGTTCCTGTGGAACACAACTGCTTATGAAAGGGGACTTCTGTTTTTATTTAGGATGTTAGTATTTCTTTAGAAACAGTTGGGTTTTTTAAAATAATTTTAATTTCTTCCCCTGTCTGTCTTTTCTTATGGATAATTCCTTTTATGAGAGACTAGAAATTAAAGAAAAATGAAAAGCATGGTTCATTTGGGGAACGGGATAATTTTCTGCTTTTATTTTTTTCCCGGAAGGGAACAAAGTGAAAAACAAACAAACTAAAAAAGAAAACATTTATAGTCAACCAATTACTATTTAATGAACTGCATCCGCCCAGCCCAGAGGGGGCAGGGACTCTGGCAGAGCACTGCGGTTTTTACCCATTTCAGTCACAGGACACGTGTTTGTGGTAATTGTAGCCTATATTTCACTCCACCTCCTGACACTGTTACACAACATTTATTGAAAGCACATTTGATGGTAATGAAGTTTCTATTAACTATGATTAAGTTTCATAAAGCACCTGAAGATAATTTAAGATGTGCAGGAGCAGAAAATGAAACATTTGGTTTAGTACATTAGGAATCGTAATTGATTAAATTATCTCATTTACAATAAGTGCTTTCCAGGAGCTGTGCAGGGCACACATTTCCCCCCGTCTCCCACTGGAGTTTGCTGGGAGATGGGAAAGGTTCCTCCAGGTTCCCCTCCTCCCCCAGTGCCCTCACTCCCCGTTTTGGGGCCCTTCAGCAGCTCCAAGCCCTTTTCTCACAGAGCCAGTCCTTGAGAACAAGGATCAAGAGTCAGACAATCATGTCAGAGGTTATTTAGTAGAACAGGTTGTTTCTCAATTATCTTCATAATTAACTTTGATTTTGCATCAATGATGATTCACAGAGTCTTACACCGAGGTCCTGTTTCCCGAACAGCAGCAGCCTGCACTGCCTGTCTCTACCCCAGAGCTGTAAAGAAACCCTGTAATTCTCCTACATATCTCATACGCAAAAATCAATGCCATTAAAGTTACTTTTTTAATAAATAAGAAAATAAAGCAACTTGAATGATACTCTTTCAAGTTTCTCTAATTTAATGGGAACTGTGCAGATAAACAAAAAGCTGCCACTTGCCTGAGGTAAGTCATGACACAGACCAGTTGGACGTGACCAAGGAGGGGGTGATTCCAGTGAGACACAGACAAGACAAAATTAAAAGGGCGTAAGTGGCCAAGGCAGCCACGAGACATTTCTGAGCCACCCCAACCCGACTGTGTGTGTCCTTAGAAATACTTAAAAACTGGAAACGTAAAGGAGAAAATACTCTCATCCCAGCTTCCTCTGCCTTCAGGACAGTTGAAGGGGTACAGCTGGGTGCTCTCAGGCACCTGCAGAATTCCACCATATTAAAACTGTGAACTTTGAAAAGCCAAAGCCTCGTCACTCACCCAGAGCTGTCACCATAACTGTGCCCCTCTGTAATTAGTATTTTTATTGCATTCATACTCAACCAGTTGTTTTAAACTCTTACTTTATCAGAGTGAGGAACACGGGAATACTCTGGGATCTCAAACAACCAGGATTCATTCAAGTCAGCAAGAAATTTTGCTGGAGAATGTTCTGAAGGTGCAGCCTCCATCCAGCGTGTGGGCTCAAAGGAAAGGAGTGCGAGTTTGGATTTCCAGATGTTTTCCTCATGATTTAGGGCCCAAGTTCCCTAAAATTTCAAATATCCCGGAGGAATACCTAAATACTTAAGACTTAAAACTCACATATTTTATAATACGTAATAGGAGAATCTGTCTTCAAAGAAGATATAAACAATTGCATGTGTTACTGCCCAGTACAGTCCTTCAAAGGAATTGAGCCAAAACTGTGTTTATAAATCTATTTGTCTTTTTTAAAAAATGAAATCTTTCAGTCAATTCACTTCAAGGCATGTGTTACTGCCCAGTACAGTCCTTCAAAGGAATTGAGCCAAAACTGTGTTTATAAATCTATTTGTCTTTTTTAAAAAATGAAATCTTTCAGTCAATTCAAATTCAACTTCAAATGTGCTGCTCTGGACTGAAATTCCACTGAAACCAAAGGAAGATGAAGAACCAGTGGGTACCAGGTGGAAGCCCCCAGAGGGTGTCAGTGGGACCCACACACTCTCAACCCCCTCTGCCCGGGGGAAGGGGCGGCCGCAGGGAGCTCCCCAGGGTGAGACAGAGCCAGAGAGGAACCAGACTGGAACTGAGAAAGCCAAACTCCTCTATTAATTTGTTTTTTCTCTAATGACAAGTCCTCAAGAGATCAGTTTCAAGATGAGCATTCCTGCAGAAAGGGCTCCCGCTCAGACACAAATTACCAAAGAACGGTCACTTTTCTATTTTTAGTCTAAAACCCGTGATCACAAAGTTGCTAAGAAGACGCTTTCAGTAGATGTGAAAGCCTTTCATGTAACCTTCAGTTTTATTTAGCTCCTAACAAATAAAACAGAATGGCAGAGAAGATGAGAAAAATCATATTTACAAGAGAAAAAAATAACTTACTTTGGGATTTTATTTCATGAAGAGGTTTTTTATCTGAGAAAGAGAGAGAGAAAGAGAAAGTTGCACTTAATAAATGTACATGGAGCATATCTATTTCCTATATCGCTTCTGTCTAGCTCTATAAATGAAACATTTTCTCCTTGTTTGCTGACAATATGAATATTTTATGTTGTCCATATTTTTTCCCTTCATGTTGTGTTTTTTTTTTTTTCTAAATCTCTTTCAGGATGTTTCTTTGCAGTAATTTCTCACTTGGTTAATTCAAGTATTTGTTAGCTTTATTGGATGCTTTTATTTACAATATTATGCATCTCAGCAATAAGGAAGTTCAGTACTTTGAAGCGGATCAGTTGCCAAAGAATGTAAAGATTTCATTATTTCTGTGTTTGATATATGGAAAGGTTAGTGATGGACACTTAAAGTAATTTATAAAATATAAAGATGTGCAATATACTCACATGTATCTATCTAAATATCTAAATATACACCAATAATGACATCTATATGTGATTCTAAAGAACATACAGAATCAATGTACTACCATACATATGCAAATATGTTATAAAATAGGTTTTATACAGTAGTGCATCTCTCTTAAAAATGAGGCTGTCTCCCTCGTAATCTGAGCTGTTCTTTATAACCTAATACCTGAGAAAGTCATCTTTAGCAAACAGGAGACTGGGGGTGCTGCGGGAGCACGGGCTCTGTCTGGGGGTGCTGGTTGAAAAACGGAAGACAATTTTATTTCTGAGTGATGATGTGTTAATAAAAACATGTTTGCAGTTCATCTGCTTATGGCAGATGGACTTGTTTGTTCCTTTTTTGGGCACTGGGGAAAGAAATCGATAGTTTTTGAAGTTATAAAAACTAACTAAAGCAAATAGATAAAAGTGAAACAAAAAAATTCTACAAATCCCTCTCTTTTATTAAACAAAGAAAAAGCTTTCACCTCTGCAAGACAGAGAGAAATCCACCATGGAAAAGTAAACTGAGAGAATTCTGGTAGGGAATAAACAATGAAAGAACAAATATGCAAGAAACCAGTAAGTTATTAGGTCTGTCTTGAGTCAAAGTGACCTCTGCATTCAGATGGAGTCAATCTCTGGTTTTCTCCCAGGCCTGCCCATCTCTCACACATCAAAACCACAAATAATTCCACCTTTTTCTTCTGCATAGATCTTTCCGTCTATTCAGCTGTTACAAGTGCTGGAAGAAATTCCCTGAAAGAAAAGCACTTTCTGTTGCTCGTCAGTTGAGGACTGGACTTTTTGACCAACCTTTCCACGTCTGTGACATCTAAGAAGGACTCACACTGATACTGAAGTGGTAACTCACCACTGCACAGGGCATGATGGGGATATTCTAATACCTGCCTGGAGACAGCACCTGGACAAAACCCTCAGAGAGAGGGGCTAAGAAAGGAGAGATGAAGAGCTGGAGAAGCCACCAAGAAAAGCCTGTGTGATACAATACCTTGTTGTTGCTACAGGAGCCCTCAGAGGCCCAACCTGTACCAGAAATCACCTGTGCTACAGGGCTCCAGGAGCTTGTGATTCCCCCAGAGCATGAACCCAGACACAGACTCGTGTGTCGTGACTCTCAGTGCTTCGGAGCCACAGCTCTTCCCCGGCCACGCACCCCCTTTGGTCCTAACACCAGATCTGTTCTCTAACCTAAATACTTAAGACTTAAAACTCACATATTTTATAATACGTAATAGGAGAATCTGTCTTCAAAGAAGATATAAACAATTGCATGTGTTACTGCCCAGTACAGTCCTTCAAAGGAATTGAGCCAAAATTGTGTTTATAAATCTATTTGTCTTTTTTAAAAAATGAAATCTTTCAGTCAATTCACTTCAAGTGTGCTGCTCTGGACTGAAATTCCACTGAAACCAAAGGAAGATGAAGAACCAGTGGGTACCAGGTGGAAGCCCCCAGAGGGTGTCAGTGGGACCCACACACTCTCAACCCCCTCTGCCCGGGGGAAGGGGCGGCCGCAGGGAGCTCCCCAGGGTGAGACAGAGCCAGAGAGGAACCAGACTGGAACTGAGAAAGCCAAACTCCTCTATTAATTTGTTTTTTCTCTAATGACAAGTCCTCAAGAGATCAGTTTCAAGATGAGCATTCCTGCAGAAAGGGCTCCCGCTCAGACACAAATTACCAAAGAACGGTCACTTTTCTATTTTTAGTCTAAAACCCGTGATCACAAAGTTGCTAAGAAGACGCTTTCAGTAGATGTGAAAGCCTTTCATGTAACCTTCAGTTTTATTTAGCTCCTAACAAATAAAACAGAATGGCAGAGAAGATGAGAAAAATCATATTTACAAGAGAAAAAAATAACTTACTTTGGGATTTTATTTCATGAAGAGGTTTTTTATCTGAGAAAGAGAGAGAGAAAGAGAAAGTTGCACTTAATAAATGTACATGGAGCATATCTATTTCCTATATCGCTTCTGTCTAGCTCTATAAATGAAACATTTTCTCCTTGTTTGCTGACAATATGAATATTTTATGTTGTCCATATTTTTTCCCTTCATGTTGTGTTTTTTTTTTTTTCTAAATCTCTTTCAGGATGTTTCTTTGCAGTAATTTCTCACTTGGTTAATTCAAGTATTTGTTAGCTTTATTGGATGCTTTTATTTACAATATTATGCATCTCAGCAATAAGGAAGTTCAGTACTTTGAAGCGGATCAGTTGCCAAAGAATGTAAAGATTTCATTATTTCTGTGTTTGATATATGGAAAGGTTAGTGATGGACACTTAAAGTAATTTATAAAATATAAAGATGTGCAATATACTCACATGTATCTATCTAAATATCTAAATATACACCAATAATGACATCTATATGTGATTCTAAAGAACATACAGAATCAATGTACTACCATACATATGCAAATATGTTATAAAATAGGTTTTATACAGTAGTGCATCTCTCTTAAAAATGAGGCTGTCTCCCTCGTAATCTGAGCTGTTCTTTATAACCTAATACCTGAGAAAGTCATCTTTAGCAAACAGGAGACTGGGGGTGCTGCGGGAGCACGGGCTCTGTCTGGGGGTGCTGGTTGAAAAACGGAAGACAATTTTATTTCTGAGTGATGATGTGTTAATAAAAACATGTTTGCAGTTCATCTGCTTATGGCAGATGGACTTGTTTGTTCCTTTTTTGGGCACTGGGGAAAGAAATCGATAGTTTTTGAAGTTATAAAAACTAACTAAAGCAAATAGATAAAAGTGAAACAAAAAAATTCTACAAATCCCTCTCTTTTATTAAACAAAGAAAAAGCTTTCACCTCTGCAAGACAGAGAGAAATCCACCATGGAAAAGTAAACTGAGAGAATTCTGGTAGGGAATAAACAATGAAAGAACAAATATGCAAGAAACCAGTAAGTTATTAGGTCTGTCTTGAGTCAAAGTGACCTCTGCATTCAGATGGAGTCAATCTCTGGTTTTCTCCCAGGCCTGCCCATCTCTCACACATCAAAACCACAAATAATTCCACCTTTTTCTTCTGCATAGATCTTTCCGTCTATTCAGCTGTTACAAGTGCTGGAAGAAATTCCCTGAAAGAAAAGCACTTTCTGTTGCTCGTCAGTTGAGGACTGGACTTTTTGACCAACCTTTCCACGTCTGTGACATCTAAGAAGGACTCACACTGATACTGAAGTGGTAACTCACCACTGCACAGGGCATGATGGGGATATTCTAATACCTGCCTGGAGACAGCACTTGGACAAAACCCTCAGAGAGAGGGGCTAAGAAAGGAGAGATGAAGAGCTGGAGAAGCCACCAAGAAAAGCCTGTGTGATACAATACCTTGTTGTTGCTACAGGAGCCCTCAGAGGCCCAACCTGTACCAGAAATCACCTGTGCTACAGGGCTCCAGGAGCTTGTGATTCCCCCAGAGCATGAACCCAGACACAGACTCGTGTGTCGTGACTCTCAGTGCTTCGGAGCCACAGCTCTTCCCCGGCCACGCACCCCCTTTGGTCCTAACACCAGATCTGTTCTCTATCTAAAGCATAAGACAGGGCTGACACCCAGCTCCACAATGGGAAGGGACGTTACTCTTAAGGTGGGCCCTTCACAAGCCTGTGTGTGGCTACGGCTCTCCTTGGAACCAGTGACCCAAACAGGGCCATCTTTTCTCAATTCTGGTGAAAACCACAAAACGAGCCAACTAGATGGTACGTCAGCTCATGACTGTCACAAATACGTGTGCAAACCTCAGCTGCAGCTTTTCATGCCCCTTTCAATGCATCCTTCTGGCAGCCTCCCAACAGAGATGCTGATCTGCACACGGGAGTGGATTCTGGATTTATCGAGCCATCTGTGGGGAAGGGCTTTCACTGAATGTACAGGGAGGACAAAGACCTCAGAAAACACCACGTGATCCCCACGTTGGGCCTCAAAAGCTAAAACATGGGGAAGGAAAAGAGTCTAAATTTCATTTATATCCTTTTAAACATTGAAGCTTGTCTGCCTGACGCCTTGGAGCTGGGGAGCAAATCGATAGTTTTTGAAGTTATAAAAACTAACTAAAGCAAATAGATAAAAGTGAAACAAAAAAATTCTACAAATCCCTCTCTTTTATTAAACAAAGAAAAAGCTTTCACCTCTGCAAGACAGAGAGAAATCCACCATGGAAAAGTAAACTGAGAGAATTCTGGTAGGGAATAAACAATGAAAGAACAAATATGCAAGAAACCAGTAAGTTATTAGGTCTGTCTTGAGTCAAAGTGACCTCTGCATTCAGATGGAGTCAATCTCTGGTTTTCTCCCAGGCCTGCCCATCTCTCACACATCAAAACCACAAATAATTCCACCTTTTTCTTCTGCATAGATCTTTCCGTCTATTCAGCTGTTACAAGTGCTGGAAGAAATTCCCTGAAAGAAAAGCACTTTCTGTTGCTCGTCAGTTGAGGACTGGACTTTTTGACCAACCTTTCCACGTCTGTGACATCTAAGAAGGACTCACACTGATACTGAAGTGGTAACTCACCACTGCACAGGGCATGATGGGGATATTCTAATACCTGCCTGGAGACAGCACTTGGACAAAACCCTCAGAGAGAGGGGCTAAGAAAGGAGAGATGAAGAGCTGGAGAAGTCACCAAGAAAAGCCTGTGTGATACACTACCTTGTTGTTGCTACAGGAGCACTCAGAGGCCCAACCTGTACCTGAAATCAGCTGTGCTACAGGGCTCCAGGAGCTTGTGATTCCCCCAGAGCATGAACCCAGACACAGACTCGTGTGTCGTGACTCAGTGTTTTGGAGCCACAGCTCTTCCCCCGACCACGCACTCCCTTTGGTCCTAACACCAGGTCTGTTCTTTACCTCTAAAGCATAAGACAGGGCTGACACCCAGCTCCACAATGGGAAGGGACGTTACCCTTAAGGTGGGACAGGTCACCTTCACAAGCCTGTGTGTGGCTATGGCTCTCCTAGCCATCTTTTCTCAATTCTGGTGAAAACCACAAAACGAGCCAACTAGATGGTACGTCAGCTCATGACTGTCACAAATACGTGTGCAAACCTCAGCTGCAGCTTTTCATGCCCCTTTCAATGCATCCTTCTGGCAGCCTCCCAACAGAGATGCTGATCTGCACACGGGAGTGGATTCTGGATTTATCGAGCCATCTGTGGGGAAGGGCTTTCACTGAATGTACAGGGAGGACAAAGACCTCAGAAAACACCACGTGATCCCCACGTTGGGCCTCAAAAGCTAAAACATGGGGAAGGAAAAGAGCCTAAATTTCATTTATATCCTTTTAAACACTGAAGCTTGGCTGCCTGACACCTTGGAGCTGGGGAGTTCTTCTGCTTTAAGAGAAGATTCTCTCCCTCCAAAACCCAACAAAAACTTACTTTACATCAGCTGAGGTGTACGTATTTCTGAAGCCTGAATAAATACACAGGATGCTGTCTGCCATTAAGGAATTATTAAAATTTCAGGGAGTTCACTTTGTTTAGAAAATTATTTTCCTCATCTCGCCAGATGTCCTTCATTGAAGAAGGGGTTGGGCACAGAACTGCCAGCCAGGACGAGGAGGGTGAACCTGGGGCCAACGGCACTGAGGCCGTTGTAGGCACCAAAGGGATGGTCAGGAGCACAAGGCTTAGGATTTATAGCCATAGTCTTTCTGGTGGAAGAAGATGACTGCTGAGCATAATGTGAACACATACATGCAAAAGGTTAAGAAGGAAGGGTAATGCAGTATCGCAGAAACAAAGAAAGAGGACTGTTTAAAAATAAAATTAATAGTAGACATATTTCAGTTTGTACCTTTCAGCCCTAGCATTCCTGATGGCTCCCACGGCTCCCATTCCTGGCTAGAAAGGGAGGAGGTGACAGTATCACCTCATGGACAGGGAGCAGTGAGGTGACAGTATCACCTCATGGAGCATCAGAGTAGGAATAAACTTGAGAATTTCTTCTTTGTTTTGAGGCAATGCAGCCGTCTCCGGGTGTTCTGCAGCTCCAGAGCCCCAGGGCTGAGCTTCTTGGCTCCTACCAAAGGGCAGCTGCTTTCCAGACATTAATGAAGGACAAATCCTTTCACAGGGAACTCGCCACAGAGTAGTGTTGCCTTTACTTACACAAACAGAGTAAACTTTGACCTTAAACAGCTCTTGCACCACGAGTGTTCCTGCTGGTGCTCTGCCAGTTTACTCACAAGAGAAGGAAGGCAGCCAAGCAGTACATTGTGTGAAATGTGTTGTAGCAGCTGGTCATAATTACACACTGCAAAAAATCTTTATTTGGATTTTTAGAATAATCTGATAATTAATAGGTAAAGTATGTGCTACGCAAATGGAGTGACTCAGAAACCACTGTGGATTTCAAACTTCACATACGCAACCCTCTGAAAACAACCTCTTTTTTCCCAGCAGTATTTCAGCCAGGAGAGCTCCAGTGACACGCCGTGTGGCAGACACGCTGCCTGACCTGGGGGACAAGATACATTTGGGGCCATCACTCCCAAACCCAGTTCCGCAACAACCCTTACTCACCTTGAATGCAGAGCCCTTCGGTGCAACTGTGACTGGGACCTTCACAAGGCTCTCAGCTCTAACCTGAACAAGGATGCAAGGATTTCCAATTTCATGACTTCATGGGCTCTTCAAAGCACGACTGTCTCCCTGGCTTTTCAGACTGAACGCGCTCTCCCCTAAGTGTGACACTTAGAGTCACTCCTTAGCAGACTGTGCATGTCTCACCTGGGCAGAGAGAAGTGCAGGTGATTTTCTGCACTGACATTCCTTCGCAAAAGGCCCCTCCGTTGAGGGGAGCGGGGTTGGTGCAGGTCCGTGAGCGCTTCTGCCAGCCCCGGCCACAGCGCGCGTTGCAGTTGGACCACTCGGTCCAGGATGACCAGCCTCCATTAACTGCAAAACACAGACAGGCCTGAGGTTGCACGAGGTGTGCCAGGAGACACCAAGCAACACGTCTGATCACATCATGTCATTCAAATCCACACATTCTGCAGGTGAATTCCCAGCTGAAGTAGGAGTGTTGCCACCTGTCAGCACACACCTACAAAGGGCCATGGTGTTTGGGAGGGAGGTAAAAGCAGGCATCTCAATTCTCATAAAATATGCTTCGCTTAAATCAGAAACGATAATTCTTTATTTTAGAAAGGGTGATTTAGGAGTGCTCTGCCTCCACCAATAAAGTGTCACACGTGGTAGAATAAACATGGAGAGCAAGAGAGGATGGTAACGAAGCAATGGTTCTGCCCTTTTGTCCTTTTACGTGGAACATGTAGAGCCACTCGGTGCACAGACACCACAGTGCCACACATCCAATTAAGGCAGCCCTTGTTGTCCCTCCCTAGGCTCGTGCTTCAGGGTTTCCTGATACAGGCAAGGCTTATATTTATGTGGTTTAGCTGATAATTGGATCTTCTTAATATCTGGAGCAAGGATTGTTATTACTGACATAACTCCTGGGAACCCATCACAAACAAAAACCTCATAATTCTAACACTCTGAAAGCAGCAACGATCTCAGCCCTGAGCCACAGAACTGAAATGCACCCTAACGGGAAGGAGGTTAGTCATTTCATTTAGAACCAGTGATATGTTAAAAGCAGAAAGTTCAGCAATAAAAGCACAAAGATCTAAGTTTTTCCCTAATGATCACGTTTTCACTGACCATAGACCACAACCGTGGCAGACATGCTCCTCCTCTTGGCCACGATGTTGGCGGCCATGCAGGTGTAGTTCCCCGAGTCCGAGAGACGCGCCTGGCGGATGATGAGGTTGTGGTCTGCTCTGGTGTCGATGTTCTCGTCCAGGTTGGAATCTATGGGCTCCTCATTCTTCAGCCATTCCACCTGGAGAGGGAGAGAGGAACATGCAGTAGGAAAAGAAAAGATGGAAGCAGAAAGTCTGCAAAATTATGTTTTGATTATTTCACTAATAGATGTCATTGTGATCTTTATTATGAACATTAAGATAAAAATAAAGCTAAGATGGGATTCCCCAAAAAGGTAGACACTCACAAATTCAGAAAAGAAACTATTGCTATTGTGAAGGCCCTAGAGCTTATTACCAAAGGCACACCAAATGAAATGCTAGGACATAATAAAATAACAAATAATAAAAGAACAAAAAGAAAACGGAAAGGGCTTGTTCAGAGTTGCAAGGGTTTGGGTTATGAGGGAAATGCTACTTTTGTTCTACTGGGAGAAAAGGAAGGAACAAAGAGGAAGAAGAGGCTAGGAAAAAAAGGAGAATAATTAATCACACTTTTCCTTGTGCTATTAGTTAGTAGGCTTTAGTATTTAATCCAAGGAACTTTGTTCTACTGGGAGAAAAGGAAGGAACAACGAGGAAGAAGAGGCTAGGAAAAAAATGAGAATAATAATTAATCACACTTTTCCTTGTGGTATTAGTTAGGAGGCTTTAGTATTTAATCCAAGGAATCAAGAAGTGATGATAAAAAATATTCAATCATTCTAGTGGAATATAGTTCATTTACCTCCTGGTTCTCTTCACCGTAAGTATTAGAGCTTTAACCTGAAATAATTTTCTTACGTAATTGCATCTTATTATTTCCTCCAATTTACCTCTGTCTGGGCTTCAGCTTTCCTAACCTGATCCCTGGCTGCTCAGAAATATCTCTGAGTAGACAGGAATTATCTGCAAGGCATTTCTCTACTTGAAACATTAAAAAACCCCAATATTTAAGGCATAGTAAGCTGCTGTTACAGAACTGAAAAATTAAAAATAGAAGCAGAATCAACAGATTCTATTAAAAGACTAAATAAATGTGAGTTATTTTAATAGCTTTTCTGGACCTGAAGGAGGTATGGCTGTACCCTGAAGTCAAATACCCTTCTCATCTCCGTTCAGATGAATAACCTCGTTTAGGAAGTTGTGGAAGGACATGGAACTTTGTGGTAATGAGCTTATGGATTTGCTAGCTACAGGCACTCATTAGCACACTGTTCTGCGCAGATGGTCTGCAATTTGTAGATTTTCCAGTTTATAAACAAATCTGCAAAAGCTGACCATCAAAGCCAATTAGATTTCATGCCAGACAGCAGGTTCCCCTTCCAGCAGCATCAGTCACTTTGGGTGGCTGGGGACAGGAGGGGTGTGAGTGACACTTCGGAGCCGCAGCTGGAACCCACCTCGGCAGGAGCCGGGGTCTGCGGGACTCTTATCTCACACGGGGACTACAGAATTAAAGTGATTATTGTGCACATCTGGCAAAAGAGGCATTACCCGAGTATGAAGTAAATCACACATTTCACACCAAAAGTAGTTAAAAGACTTTAGCTCTATATACTCTTTTCCTCAAAGCGCAGTTAACCAGAAATGGTAGCAAAGACAGAATTTTGCCCTCAAAGCCTACATTAAGCATTCAAGACACACCTGTGTTTCTGCAGTCCTGTAAGGCTCTGTTATAACGCTGGTTTGGTTTGGTTTCCCTCTCAAATCTTAAGTCTTTTTTTCAATTATTATTTTTTAAGCAGTCTCCTTCATAGAAGTTTGAAGTTTTGGGACCACCTGACTGTGTGCTACAGTGCACATCCCGATCAATGCTGAGAGGGAGGTTTCCAGGGGGTGTTGGTGGCCCCTGGCAGCCAAGGGGCCGTGCCTGGCACAGACACACTGGGAGACCCCTCTCTCCCCACAATCCCTTTCCTTACCAAAGGTGATGCAGTTCCTTTGGCATCCTAATCCCCATTGCCAGCAACATCCCAGCACTCACCCAGCACCCACACTCGTTGCCCGTCGTTCCCCTTGCCGGGTGACAGGGCTGTCACTGTCACTGTCACCGTGCTGAGCACCGATGGCCAGGCAGGGGCTGGCGTAGGGACCCAGCAGCCTCACTGCCTCCAGCAGTGCTGAACCCTTCCTTAATGGGATCTCTGAATGGATTACATTTCCCTTTGGTCCGAGTGAGATGAGGAACAATCAAGTAATCCATTTACTATTCGGTTTCCCTTCTGCAGTTAACTTTAATATTAATTATCAGAGGGGGTTTCAGCAAAGGGACGAGGAACGCAATTTAAATTATGGAACAGCAGCACGAGCATAAATCAAGTGACAGAAATTCAATGGTCGCAGGCAGAATTAAACTCACTTTATGTGCAGTGTAATGACAAACACACTGATGTTCAGCGTGATGACAAACATGCCCAGTATTACCCCAGTTCATTATTTCACAAGTACATACACACAGGTTTGCATTTGGACTCTTGCCGGGTGAGGGTTTCACGGGGCAGCGATGGGGAGGGGGTGTCCCTCCTGTCACCCAGTGCTCAGGGGGAGTCCCCCGGCAGAGACTGCAACTGATCTCTGGTGACAGAGCCTGGGGCTGCGGGGCTTAGCGAGCGGAGAGCACTTCCATCAATGCAAAGCATTTAAAAGAATGATCACGGTGAAGGGAGGCCGTTAAACAGACAGAGCACAAACACCAGAGTTTTGAGAACAGCACGATCAGAAGATGATGGTAACCACGGGCACGTGTCGCCTTCTGCTTCTTATCTGGGGCCTCGATGGCAACCGCGAACACCCCGCTCCGATTCCAGCCTCCCCTCCCTCGAATCAAAACCAGACTCGCTCAGACTCATTCCCTGCCTTTGCCTGAGCAGACAAACGCTCTCAAAGGTGGAGAATTATGTGATGGATTTATAGAATAAACTGATAACTTTAAAGGATTCATGGTGAGAAAAGGCTCACACAAATACACACACAAACCAAGCAAAGGCAACAAAGAAACCCCAATATCTCCATCCTGAAACCAGGCGGGGGTTCTGAAGGGCCAATCTGCTACGCACAAAGAGTAGGCTCAAAACTCATTAGCGTTTAATTTCCCTCCCTTTATCATCAGAGGAGGGCATACAGTTGCTTGTAACACAATCGAATACCTTTCTTTTTAAGAATTAGTCCGTCTGAAGATCTTAAATATTTCTATCTTGAAATAGACCTTAAAATGGCTATAGTAAGCCATAAGTTTATATAAAGATATCTGGGTTTTTTTCCCCTGAAATTAAATCTGCTCAGAATTAAAATACCCCCATCAATTTCTAACGAAGGCTAATCACGTAATGATCTACAAAAGAAATGCAGGGGCAGACATGGATTAACTCAGGCACTACATATTGGGTGGCAGCAGATGAATTAGCATAATCATAAATTTGTTCCAATTACAGAAAGCAATTATCAAAGACCAGCTTACAGCATTATCAAAGTAAAATCAGCTAAAGACACCATCTCCTAGGTAGATTCCGATGCGAGTTGGCAAACTCTTGTTCTTTAAAAAGGAAGCTTATCCCAACTCCTCGGTATCTCTGTCTGCTGCAAACACCATGAGAGCTGCCCGTCAGCTCCACAGAGGAACTCGGCTGCTGCCGGAGGTGCCGCAGGTGATGGAGTCTTACCCTGTTTCCTGTCTGCAAGATGGATAATTTGTGCACGTCAGCCCTATTTGTGCATGTATCCACTCAGATACTACGGACGCGCATCTTCCAGTTGCCAAACAGCAAATTCGGGCCCTCTGGGGACTCACAAATATCCAGGAGAATATTGATGGAGGCAGGAAGGCAGCTGAGCTGGAGCTGCAGGGAGGCGCTGGCAGCGGTTTCTACGGTGCCCTGAAAACTGCCCGTTTTATGGGGTAGAGTTGTGGCTTCCAGGGGAACAGAACGATATGCCCTGAAATCTCAGCTGCCCTGAAATCTCAGCAGTGGGAATGTTCTATTTCCCTCTGAGAGACCCGGGGTCAGCCCTTTGCACAGGCATCACCTGGGTCATCCAAGGAGAAAACCTGACGAACTCCAGAGGAGATGACGTGCTCCTGGCTGAGAGTTACTCCTGCTTTGCCAAATTTGAGAGGGAGGCTGTAGAGCTGTTAAACCTCCTGTAAGATTAAAGAATATTCTGATTTGCAGTCATGGAAATTAGTTTTTTTGTTTGTTTAATACCAAACATCACTTAAACCTTGAAGATGCCAGTAGGTCAGACAGCAGTCACAGGCCTTAAATGATCTGATGCACTACGAGTTCTTTGTCAGTTTTCGATCTCATTTAAACATCCCGAGAGCTGGCTGCCCATGACTGAATTTTCTGTTCTTTCTTGTTTGAGACTATAAAGAGATTTAATGCCTAACAGGAACAATACAACTCAGAGTTCTTATGGGCACACATGCTAATTTTGTAGGTCAGAAGACTGAAGACCTTGGTACTCCTGTTTTTAGATTACTGTCCTGCCCTTTAAACACAACATCTGACTCTCCCGTGTGGTCAATAACCACAGAACATACGTATCACAGACAATACAGTTAGAACATCAGCTCCTCTTGACGAGAGGATCAATTGCTTTCTCCGTGCAAGATAAACACTTCATGATTTTAAGATGGGAAAGGTCAGAGCAGCACAAACGCCTCTTACAGCAGAGTCAATGCACAGATTTTAAATATGCACTCGCTCAGATGGAGAAAGCAGTAAACACATCCTTAACTTTCCTTTAAGCCAATAAAGGAAAGGTTCTTAGAGAACAAGCCAATATTTCTATCTTTCGGATAAAACTGTTTTGTCAGTCCCAGATGCACTTAATATTAAAAAAGTAATTAGAATAGGTCTCTTAGAGACATCTTTTTGGGTCTTAATCCTTCTTACACTGCTGTAATGACAACTGCACAACAGTGAACATTATCTTGAAGTTGATTCCAATACCATTTGTGCTGTTGCCCATGAAGGCACTTAATTAATTCAATATAAATAATACAGAAGATATCTCTACTTGAGCTCTTGGCTCCCTAAGAACACAAATAACACTGTTACATACAAAAGAACTAGGCAATGCCATACTTTCCCCTCTA